CTAAGAGAAAGGAAAGGTCTATGAAAGTTCTCATTTAGCCTGGCAGTGGTGGCGCACGCCTTTAATCCCAGCACTTGGGAGGCAGAGGCAGGTGGATTTCTGAGTTCGAGGCCAGCCTGGTCTACAGAGTTAGTTCCAGGACAGCCAGGGCTATACAGAGAAACCCTGTCTCGAAAAAAACAAAACAAAACAAAACAAAACAAAACAAAACAAAACAAAACAAAACAAGGAAGGAAGGAAGGAAGGAAGGAAGGAAGGAAGGAAGGAAGGAAGTAAGTTAGTTCTCATTGGGTACATGAGTTCCTCAGAGGAAAGCATTACTCTTGGGGCTGAGTTCTGTGCCTTGGACCATAGGGCTGAGTGTCTTTCGACTACTCATACTGTCTAATCCATCAGGACATAAGGAGAGAGTCAGTTACAAGAGACTTATGGAGAACACTTCCAATGTGAGCTGTGCAAAACTACATCGAAACAGAAAAATGGTAAGACAATCTCAAAGAAAAGAGTGATGTCAGCCGTCACAAAAATATGCTCCCAGAGCAGTAAGAAAATATTTGCGGAAACAAAATACTCAGCTCAAAGAATGGAGACAAAGGAAATAACTTAAGATCCCCAAACCCAGTAAGAAAACATTCACGTGCATCTTTGGCAGCCACCTTAGCATACACTGGAAAGGAAATATCCAGAAAAAAAACAGAGGAAAAAAGCCTAAAATAAACAAACAAACAAATTCCGCAGTGCCAAAAAAGGTACATCTTTAAATTGAAAAGTTATCAGGAACTCACAGAAATTAATGAAAAACAGACATAAAAGGATTTATATCTTTTTGAAACTTAAAATTACCAGAGAAAAAGAGGAAATTCTAAAACAAACAAAATAGAGATAGAGAAAAATAAATCAAGATGCTATCGTTTTACTTAGCAATAGTGGAAGTTGGAGATCAAGGCAATGTCCTCACAATTCTAAAAGTAATGTTTTCCCATCCATAGCTAAACCAGTTATATGGCAAAACTGAAGTGATACACTTACAGGTATTTGAAATTGAAGAAAAGTTATAATTTATAGATGCCCACTTTGGGGGTGGGGCAGAGAGTCTTTCTCCATAGCCCTGGCTGTCCCTTACATAACTCAGTATGTAGACCATGTGGGCCTTGAACTTGAACTCAAACATCTCCCAGTCTCTGCCTCCCAAATTCTGGGATTATAAAGGTGTGTGCCACCACACCAAACTCTATAGATACCTACATGGCATCTTTTCAATAATTTGTACAATTTTTGTTGTTGCTTGTTTGTTTGGGGTTTTTATTTTTCTTTTGTTTGTTTGAGAGAGGGTCTGTCTACACAGCCTTGGCTGTCCAGCCTGGCTTTGAAACTCACACAGTTGACTCAGCCTCCCAAGTGCTAGGATTCAAGGTGTGCACCACCATCGTTGGCTGTATTTGTGTATTTTTAAAAGAAGACATAAGTATAGAAAATGATAACAAAGAAAAGCCCAGAACAGCTATGCACTAAGAATTCCAAAACAAAGAAGAAGACACAGCTTCTGCTAGGAGCGAGACAGAAAACTGTTAGAGTCGAGCTTAGGCACTACAGAATCTCTCAGCCAACGCTCAAAGAAAACTAAGAAGATGTCATTTTTACTCCAGAAACAAAATGAAGTTTCCCTTCAGTAGGACAATTAGAGCAACTGGCTCCATAGAACCAAATTTTAACATCATAGTAATGAAAACTCAATGAAGAAAATAACCAAAGGTCTGAAGCACTGCTATGCAGGAAGGGAAAGAGACACACAAGTGCCTCCTCCTTTGTTAGAAGGGATAAATGATGACGGCTCAAATTCCCAACTAAACATACTATAAAATAGAATGTGTATGTTACCATGATACAGCACTTTATAGCTGAATAAAATAAAGCCAAGAACTAACTCCCTGAATAAGTGTATTTTGACAGATACTATGAATAAAACAATGGGAAAAAAAAGTTCATGCCTCAAGGAGATTATTTCTACTGAGTGAATCAACTGACAAAGAAATTTACAATACAATTATAAACAGAGATGAACATTACCCAGAATCCAGTAATTACGCAGAGTTAATATTAGGGCAAAACCGCTTCTGGGAAATCTATCCAAGAATGACTCTCTACCTAGTGAGTCTGGATCAGAAATCTGAATGAAATCAAGGGCCGGACTTTTCAAAAGTAGGATACAAACATACTCTAGAAGACAGGGAACAGATTTTGCTGGATGTGTAGGAAACCAGCAGAAGCCTTGAATTAAGAGCAGAATTAGCCCAACAACAACAGCCAGAAGGCAACGCAATACTTATTCACAGCTGAGAGCGCCCAATAGACGACATAAAATCTGCTGTGAGAAGGAAATGAATTAGATGACAGAATAAATACGTTGCTGCTTTTGGGTTATGGAAATGAACTACAATTAAAGCCTTATGTCACCTGCCCTTCTGTCTAACAGAAAAGCTGACCACAAGTGCACACAATCACAACACAGAGAGAAAAAGACCAGGACTATAGAAGTTAGAGAAATTTAAAAACTTAGAAAAAAGAAAAAAAAAACTTGGAAATGTTAAGAGGCAAGCATGTATTTTATAAGAACACATGGACAGCCACAGGTTAGTTCCACCACTGATAATTTATCAGCCTTCTATTACAAAATGAAAGAATGCAAAGTTCCATTAAGCAATGCAGAGCTTTGTAACTTATACCCAGGAAGATATCGCACATAAAAGGATGCTTGGAGCTCTTTAAGAAACTGAGGTAAGAGATATTGCACATAAAAGGATGCTTGGGGCCCTTTAAGAAACTGAAGTAAGAGTGAAGACATACGGACTGACAGATAAGGGAAAGATAAGGTTGTTGTCAGTTCTCTGACAACCATCTCCCCACTGGTGTCCACCCCACCTCGCTCTAACTTAACTGGTAGTGAAGACTTGGACATACTATCCAATCCTCAACTCTACCTGGGCATCACTGAATAACTGAAATGTACAATGGTAAAAAAGATGCCAACGCTGGCATTTAAATTTGTTGATACAGAAAACAAAAATTCCACACTAGTGTGTGAATCCGATCCCATTACTCCACATCAGGAAAATACCTAATGACCAAACGAATGGGTTCCTACAGTATTTACTGTCTTGGTCAGCATCTACGAAAGACTTTTAGTGATCAAATTTCCTGGATACTTCTGCAATCTCATCAAACAAACACTAATTAAACCACGTTCAATTTCTTTAAGTGTATCCAACATACCGTCTCTTTTCAAACATTAGTCCATCTGCCTGCATCAATACGTCCAATTCCACTCTGTCCACCTTGCATTCATCCCAAATTCCCACTCCTCACTAAGTCCGTGTGTACCTTACTCTGAAAAGTTTCTGGAAACCACCTGAGAAGGATCAGTTGCTTCCCTGACACCATCAGTTCACACTTACAAATGTCTGCAAATTTCGGCAAACAATTTCCTACACTAACTCTTCAGTGTTCTATGAGCCCAGATTCTGTTCTGGATCTACTCTGTAGCCACCTCGTCTAATCTGGAGAACTGGTTTTCCCACTAGGAAAAATTAATCATGAGCGAGAATCATGAGACAAAAGCACCTGTCCCTCCATTTCAGCAGGAAAGATAAAGAGACTCTAAGAGGGATCTGGAAAATCAAACAATTGTGTAAAGACGGACACAGGGCACATGAAGGCTTCCATCGTCTTCAATGACTGCCCTTTTCATCTCCCCAGCCCCGTTCCAGTCTGAATATGGAATCCTCTAATGAACAGAGATAGCAGCAAAAAAGCAATTATAAAGGGAGAACCAACACTCTGATCATTTTTATTGCTAAGGCGGGAGGGCGGTTGATAAAAAGTAATATTGTGTGATTCACTGTTATTTACACAAATTTAATTGTGTAACCAATATATATTTAATTATGTAATGAAACTGTCCTTACCATAGTACTTTGACAAGCGTTAGAGAAGGGTAAGTTGCTGAAAAATAGTGCATTACATTTATGAGTAACATCGCTGGAAGTTTCAGTTTGGACACTTCGAAGTCACTTAAAAAGGAGTATTTATCTGTGGTACTTGCATACAAACACACATGTGTCAGTGTGCTTGCATGTATTTATAATTCTAAGCTTGAAAGGGGCTGTTTAAAAAAAAAATCAGTGTACAGAACAAGCGAACTAAAGCCATTTACAATGAATTCACGGTTTAAACCCACAAAACAGAGAAGGACTTTACTTGCAAAGTTTTGGTGCCCTTATAAAAATAAAATTAGTTTATAAATCATGCCCTACAAAATGAAACAAATGGGAAAAAAATTTGGTCTCAATGCTAGGAAACCATTCTGTTACAAGAAAGATGAAAACTCTATCATTGGGCCCCTTTCTGTCTAGCAGTGACTCTTCTCAAGACATCACAGCTCATTCTGACTCCGAACAGGTTTTACAACTTCTAGGTATTTCCTGACCTGTTCTAGAATAATTACGGCCACGTAACATCTTACACATAACCGAAAGCATTTAGATTTGTTTTTCACGCCTACGGGGAAGGGGGGAGCTGTGTGTATGTCTGTGTGAAATTTTCAGAAACCTGTGCACCTGAATACTCACTCATTCTAAGTCTTAAGGAACAGAAATCAGAGACAAGTCAGATAACGTGAAGGTGCATAGGCATAGACAAGAGGAAGGTAAGCAGTGCAAAACTCCTGTTTCCTGTTAAAGAAACGGAAAGTTTTGGGTTCTTCGGGAGACACTTTCCTAGGGCTAATCAGACGTAAAAGATGGTTCACTTAGACGGGAAAGGCCCGCAAACAGATTGCAGAAATATGTTTCCACCTTGGGTGGCTAAAAGCTGCACAAGCGTGGGATTCCTGATCATCAGGTACCTCCCCTGGCCGGGATCCCGGTCCCCAGTTCTACCCTCAGCCTGATTCAGATCTCAATCTGGACTTCCCTGCGTCGCGTCTACCAACCCGCCGGCCTCACCTTGGTTACAGAAAAGGCTCCACAGTTTAGCGAAGATCAGCCCCATCATGAGCCCCGGGCGGGACAGGCTCCCTGGGCAGCACTCGGCGGCAGGTGCCGCGGCGCCCGCGGTGGAACCGAGGGGAAGCCGACCCGGAGCCGGGGAGCCTCAAGAGTCCAGCGAAGCTTTGGTCCTCCGCGGAGCCGGGAACCGCCGCAGACTCCTTTGTTCGCAGCGCGCTGAGCCCAGCCCCGACCCGTAGTCGCTCTGTCTGCGCCCACCTACCCTGCACTGCCAGGGCTGGCCGCGAGCCCCGCCCCCGCCCCGCCTCCCCACCTCAGCCCGGGACCACCCATCGCCGGAAGGTCGGCACGTGACGTCGGCGCGCTGACGTCAGCTGGCGCCTGGGACGTGGCGGGTCCTCCCTGTGCACTTCCGGTGTGCAGATGGTGGGCGGGCTTGGCGTCAGCGGAGGCTGGGGGTGGCGGATCTGGGGATTTCCTCGGCGCGCGCTCCCTCTCCTGTCACTCTGAAGCAAGACTGACTCGGGTCGCGAGTGGCGGTCACCCCAGCGACCTCGCCACCGTGCCTGTAGCTGCTGAAAGCCAGCAGAACCTCAGCGGGTGCGGTCCTCTGGCTGCAGGGGGAGGAGTGGTTTTTCGTTCCTGTCTCAGTGTTGGGATTCTAGCGTGGTTCGGAATTCTGAATGGAATTGAAAGGGACATGCGTGCTGGAATGCCTGTAGCCAGGGTCCGATTAAGTTTCTAAATTCACACTGCCACCATTGTGGCCATGCTTTAGGTGTGGTGGTTGATCTCAAAATCCTCACCAGTTGAAACTGGAAATTTCATAGGCCAGACTAGTCCTTGAGGCCACCTGGTGGTGCCTACATAACCAGAGAAGAAGGATTTTAAGGATGTCAGCCTGACCTTTTAACACGGTAAACTATCCATGACTTGTTCTAAATAAAAGGAGTGTGGCTTAAGATGCCCTGCTAGTGCTGCACTTCGAAGACCTACTTCATGATACCAAACAATAACTCCAGCCTCTCATGTACTGATCCCATTCAAACATAACTTTAGAGATCATCCGTTGGACCATAAATCCGAATGAGTTTGTGGTTGTGCAAGCTAGTTTAAAGGATCATTTCTACTCTTGGCTTCTACTCTTGGATTTTGAGATCAGCCACCACACCTAACGTTTGGCCACACTTAACTGGACCCTGACTACAGGCATTCCAGCACACATTATCAGTTCCATCCAGAATTATTAAAAAGCTGACTTAAGATTCTCTAATGCCCCTTTCAGGAGAATTTAGAAATTTGAAAGTTTTACTAGCCTAAAGGAAAAAAAAAAAAACTTCTCTGACTAAAAACAAATGATAGATGCTCACAAATATAGTTGAATATTGCCTAAACTAATAAATGCTGATGTATGTACTCATGTTAGAAAAAAATGGTACTTGTTTATACTGACTGTGCACGTGTATTGACTATATATGTCTATATATACATACTATATATACATATATATAGTGAGAATGCTTGTCAAGAATTTAATGAAAGTAGAAAAATCTGAGCATATTCTTCTTAAATGTAGCTAAGAAACTAAGTACTTTTTCTTTAAACATCCCTTTAAGATTTTTTTAGACTAATTTCATCGTTGCCTTTGGTATACAAGAGATAATACTGATCTATAGAGTGGTGCCGCCTGAAAATGAATATAGTTTGAGTTCATGAGATACGAATAACTGCATGAAAATATTGTGAAATGACAACTTTCATTGAAGTACAGTCCCATTAAAAAGTCTCCAACAAAAGATAAGATATTCTAAGTGCTAAATTAGAATAAAATAAACTGAAAATTCAAGGAAGTAGAATGTTAACTCTCAAGGCCTAAAGAAAGGAAAGTTATATAGATTTCTTAGGAGGAACCAGATGATAACTTGGAAAAACTTGATGTCGTTGGCATTGAGTTCAACTTATTAAACAGTTAAGCTAGATCAGTTTGTACAGAGCTTTAAAAAAAGAGTTCAAGGAACTGTGTGTTCTGCCAGCTAAGGAAAAAAAAGCCACTCTTCAAAAACTCCAAACATTTTTTATGTCAATTACGATTTTAATCCAGTTGGTCGGTTTCCAGATGAATCAGGTTTGATTGAGTGCCCATAAGGAAATGCTTTTCTGCCATACAGTCGAAGAAATCAATATAATTTCATTCAGGAAATATCTGTAGACACTTTTGGATGGTGTAGTTGATTGATTGTTGCAAACAATTTAATATATCATTCCTGAAAGTAGAAAAGAACATATTGATAAATTTCTGATGAAGCTGCTGTTTTAAAATTCAGAGAGGTTACACAATACCTTGAGTTTCATAATTTTTACTAGACCAAAATATCTTTAAGTTTATGACTCTGCTCATATGTTACCAGTGGGGCTTGATCTCTCTCCTCTGTACTTCCAGGATTACCATAGCAGGCCTCCCCCAAATTTTTCTCTAGTGATCCTCCCAACAGGTGCTTGGAAGCTGTCACCTTGTGCAGTGTTATCATTTGGGGGCATGCTTACTCTCTTCGAGGCTCCACAGAAGCCGAGGTGGTTGGTAAAATACCATTTGTAGGAGGATTTGAGGCTGATCCATTTTGTGCAATGCTCTGGAGCCCTCCTCTTTATAAACAGTGTACCCTGCCCTTTGTTACAATCTTGTATTTAGGGCGGGGCCTATTACACATTTATATACGCTCTCATTAAAAAACCGGAAATCTGCACTCCTCCCTTGCATAAACTAGTTAACTCCTGGTCTGTTGGAATTTGGGTCACTTGGTGAGTGAAGACTCTGACAGCCTTTCCTCCGACATGGGTATAATCATATCTAACACTTAGTGAAGCTTGGTCTTTTCCAACACTCTTTAAATCAGTTTATGAAATTTGGTCTTTAGTATTACTACAAAGTATGAAATATTATCTCCACTTACTAGATCAGAAAAATGAAATGTAAGAACTTTAATTACTTGCCCAGGGCTGCAAGAACTGGTCTATGAACCATAGCAGTTTAGATCATTAGGAAAATTATTTTTAAAAAAATAGATTTTATTTATTTTATATATACAATGAATACACTGTCGCTGTCTTCAGACATACCAGAAGAGGGTATCAGATCCTATTACGGATGGCTATGAGCCACTGTGTGGTTGCTGGGAATTGAACTCAGAACCTCTGGAAGAGCAGTCAGTGCTCTTAAGCTTCTGAGCCATCTCTCTAGCCTCCAGTAAAATTCTTAACAATTAAGATGTTACCCATTCAATAACCTGATAAATCCCATATTCTAAAATTAAAAGCATTTTATTTTCAGAATTTTTACTATTTGTTTCTTTCTCAAATGATAAGTACATATTCAGGACAGAACAGCAGGTATAGTAGTTGGACCACTAAATCTCCAGAGAGGTCTGACTTGCAAGGAGTTTAGTATTTAATGTTCCATAACCATGGCAGGAGAAATGAGGAAATTCCAGTAAGGTGTGGACTATAATTTATAAAACTAATGAGGAGCCAGTCCAAAGGCTTGTGTGCTTAATTCTGGCAGTATTTTGAACCAGATTATATTCATTCATTCTTTGGCTTTCCAAACACTATAGGTTCTAATTTGTAGTTTCTCAGATGATGCCAACAGTATTTGAAAAGTTGAGATACTGTATTGACAGGATTAGATTTGTGGCTAAATGAATATGCAAAGATGTTATGTTATCTTTATAGAACTTTTAAGATTATCAGGAGGGAGTGGGGGTTGGAAATGTCTATAACCCTGTCTCTCACAAAGTTGAGGCAGTAGGATTGTGAATCAAGAACAGCCTGGGCTAAATAGGGATGTTTGTCTCAAAAAAATAAACAAATAATGAAATAAATGAGTGGGGCTAAGGAGAAATTCTAGTTAGTAAAGTGCTTGCCATGCAAGCATGAGGACCTGAATTTTAGATGCCCAACACTTGGGATGATGATGATGATGATGATGATGATGATGATGGTGATGAAGATGGGCCAGGAGTGTGAGCCAGTAATTCCTGCACAGGAAAGACAGAGATATGGCATGCAGACCCCTTGAGCTTGCTGGTCAGTCAATCCTGCTAAGTCAGCCACCTCCAAATTCAGAGATCTTATCCAAAAAATTAAAGTGGAGAGTAATTGTGACCTCACATCAATATCTGGCTTCCACATGCATGTGGACACATATGTACCTCTACACACACACACACACACACACACACACACACACACACACTCATGCACACAAATACAAGAGAAAGGCATTGAAAGAAAAGGAAGTTTCTTGTAATGCAGAAGTGTAGAATCCCGGATTAAGTCATTCCCCCAGATTAGATAAAATGAGGCCACAAACAAGCTTAGAATGATGATATTACATCATATTTATTTCTCCCACAAGTCCCTGCTTAGGAGCCATACTACCCCTTTAAAGAGCACATACCTTCTGTGAGTTCTGCATGGTTGTATAGGAGTCTCCTGCTGTTTAGACAGAATGTGCTCACTCTACTAACTGCAAATTTACGACATGTTTTCTGGTCACTATTCAAGTGTTCTGAAATAGTGAACTACTTTATATCAAATACATATTTAACAACAGTTTCCTTTTCAATTTCACAAAGGTGTCTGTGTTTGATTAGTCATTCAGGGAGTGTCCTTTATATGTCAAACAATGAGTATTCTATGTGGAAATGATATTTCTCCCTCATGAACTTTCAAGTTCAAGTTTTGTTTATTTCTTAAAGATTTCAACTATATCTAGTGTCAGGGTTGCTACAAAGTTGCCTGTCGAAATTTCTTTGTGTGGGTGGTCTAGCCCTCTGAATACTGGACAAAGCATTCCATGTTGCACCAAGATGTCATTTACCTGTTCTCCCTGCCTGACTGCAGCAAAACAGGCCACCCTTCCCAGGTCAGACTGTGCTTGGTGACAGCAAGGATCAAGTGCATATAAACACATAACCTTTCTCAGAGTTTGATTCACCTGTGCCACCTTAGCTGCTTTTATATTGGGTAGCTCTCTGAAGCTAGTTTTATGCTAACTCTGCTGTAGTGCCATTGTGTAGCCATATAAAATAGTGTGGTGGGCAGAGTCATGGTTTTTGGTGGGGCAGCTGCCCATCCTGCTATAAGTAAGCCTAGCAAACTAATTTATTTCTTCAATCTGGACTTGTCAAGTTTTTCTTTAGTCACATTACCCTTATTTGGGCATGAATACATGTTTATGTCCCCTCAGGCAAGTCATACACCACTTAAAACCTGTGTCCCAGACACTTTCTATTAGTTTCAGGAGATGAAGTCAGGAAAGAATCCCATGCATTGACCACAGATACATGATACTGTGGCAAGACTGGGTACTTGTTTTAGAAGCCAGTTTACTGGTCCATAGCCTATTTTCTTTTTTTGAGGTCTTGGAAAGTTATTATAGCTCTTGGAGCTTTGTTTTACTCCTTGAAAAGTGCTTATAACCACTGTGCTGAACGGTGGCAGTGTCTTTCCTATGGATTTTTCACCTAGTAAAGACTTGGTGTGCCATAGAAAGAAGTTATATATATTTTAAAACCAGTGTGAAAACGTAAAAGGATTAAAAATAAAAAGCAAACAAAAACCTTCTCTATAGTTACCTATGAGATATGGCCCAAAACAACAAAAAGCACAAAACAAACAAACAAACAAAAATCAAGCATACCTTACCCCCTCAGCAACAGAGACAGAACTGTTCGTCATGCTCAAGTATAAAACAACCTACTGACTTTGGTTAGTTTTTTTTTTTTTTTTCTCTCGAAACAGGGTTTCTCTGTGTAGCCTTGGCTGTCCTGGAACTCACTCTGTAGACCAGGCTGGCCTCGAACTCAATAATCCTCCTGCCTCTGCCTCCCAAGTGCTGGGATTAAAGGCGTGCACCACCACAGCCTGGCTCTGGTTAGTTATTTTTAAACTCTTGTCACCTTATTGCCATCACATCAAGGCTCTCTTGTGCTTTAAAGCATGTTAACTATTAGCTTCTTGGCTAGTTGTAAACACTGTTAGGGGATTTTTAAGTTGTACCTGAGTACTCAAGGGTATTAGCACATTTAAAAATATGGGTATTAGGGTAAGAGAGATATCTCAACAGTTAAGAGCACTTGTTCTTGCATAATGCCCAGGTTCCATTATCGCATCCATATGATGGCTTACAACAAGAACTTCAGTTCCTGAGCATCTAAGAGGCAAGCACGTGGTGTACATGTATGCACGCAGGCAAAACATTCATATTTTCATAAATACGTCTTTAAAAAAGAAAATAAAAAGTGTCCGAGGGAAGCCTCCACCGCTACTTGCACTGGGGACAATAAATGGAAACCTCCCTGACTCGGGTTAGTGAGGGATCCAGTTCTAAGTCCTGGGATGTACCACACACAGTCCTTCCTAGGAAGAAGCTCCACCCTCAGGGGGGACGGACTGGAGGTGATTGGCAGATGCAGGTTGGGCATGGACAGAAGGATGAGCAGCCGGCGCCGGAAGTGACGAAGCCAGGAAGCGACTTTCTGTTCCGAAATTTGGGGCGCGGTTTTGGAAAATAGCGTGACAGAGTGGAGCTAGGCTTAGTCTGGTTTTCCGACCTGCGTTTAGGCACACTTATTTGTCACCAAGCCGTATTCGGAGCTTTCTCACGCATCTCAGAGAACGACAAGCCTTGGGACCTGCTCACTCCTGAACTCAGCCCTGAAAGGCATACTTGTGCTCGTCCATTGGCTGGCAACGCTATAATTCGGAAAGAAAAATTGCTTCTCAACATTTTCTTGGACAACTTAAAACAGAAAAAAAAAAAGAATGTATGTATTTCCAAAGATATCTTTGAGACCTGAAGTTGAAAACTATCTCAAAGAGAGCTTTTTGAACGAGGAGGTAGGTCCTACATAGATGTTTGCAAAATTCGGATACAACTTGGGAAGCAGAAAGAAAACTAAAGGGTAGTCTGTAGTTGGTTTTTGCCGCTAGTCTATTGGAATCTTTAAAAACAATCCTTTATTATTTGTCACATTAATGCTTTCTTAGATTGAGGTAAATATATGTGCTCACATTTAGATGTAAGAAAAAAAGAAAGTGGTGTGTGCCTGTCAGCCCTTAGTATGAAGGGGTAGCAAAATCAGAAGATGGCCACACAACTCAAGATTTCCACAGTAGATCCACCTATTCTGTTAAAGCGCAGGCTCTTGTACTTAGGTGAAAAGGACACACTCTTTAAAAGCCATCAGCTGTTTGATTGCAAACGGTTACATTTTAGTTTTATAAATCTTGGTAGAGTGATTTGGTTTCATTTTTAAGGAGACCAGAGTCTAAGCAGTCCTGTTACTCATCCAAACGGACAGAACTGTCAAGCAACTAAAGCTCAGACATAATGATAAAAAAGTCAGTCAGTTTTAGAAGCTTGCTATCTCTCTATCAGTCATATCTATCGCTCTGACTATCTATCTATCTATCCATCCTATCAACTATCTATCTATTGAAATGAAATTTCTTCACATAATAGTGGCTATACTGGAACTCATATGGTAGACCAGGTTGTTTTTGAGCTTTCTGTGATCCACCTGCCTCTCCCTCCTGAGTGCTGGGATTACAGGCATGTAATCCACCAAACTTTGCTGGGAAAGCATTATTTTTGCCTGAGTTACCTTGAATTAATTCTTACTGATTAAACTTTATTCTGTGAAAATTAAATAGATTATAAGTACTTTCCAAGATTGTCTTGGGGCATCAACCTTAAGTGAAAATCACAGCATTGGTTTGTCAGGCAAGTCTTGGAAAAAAAAAAAAAAGAGGGTTAGCTACTTATTACTGGCCACGCTTAGCACAGAAATTCCCAGTGAGTATTATTGATTGACTTCTAGTGAAGTTCATCTGCATGCTCTAACCACCTTAGCCTGTCACCCATTGGCAACTTGGATAGTTTTCTAAATTTTTGGTTTTCTAGCAAAATTAAATCCACTTAAATGCTTTTTATTTTTGAGTGTTACCAGAGCTAGGATTTTAAAACTTATTTCTCCATCTTATTTCCAAATCATGTTTATAGGATAAACTATATGCAAAGGGGAAATATTTTATGCTTACCTCATCGAGGGGCCTTCGGAAGTATATTAAGAGAGGAAGGGGAACATTCAGCAGTCATTTTCAGCAGTTTTAGAATGATGACCATTGTTTTATGAAGGATTGATGCAATTTTTAAAGTCATCCCCTTTCCAAACCCACAAGGTGTGACAGCTTAAATAAAGAAAGGCCATCCCATTTGTAAAACAGTTTGGAAAGGAAAGAAGTAATATCAATCAAACTAAGCCTTAAGTTTAACTCAGCATTCCTTAAACATGTTAAGACGCATTCCTTAAGTAGATTAAGACTGATGGCTACACACTGAAGTCAAGACCTGGGTTCTTCTTATTGCAGGCTGTGTCAGCTTCTAGCAAAGAAGAAGCAGAAAAGAAGTTTGAGGCTCTGCTACTTCGCCTGTCACACCCTCCATCGTTCACAACCGTCAGAGTGAATACGCATTTAGGCTCAGTTCAGCATGTCAGAGGCCTGCTGCTTGAGGAGCTTCAGAAGGTTAGTGTGAGTATGGTGTGCTGGGCAGTCACCCTTCTATAGGCCACACTGTGCACCATACAATCCCATGGATAATAGGATAGATAGTCTGGGTTTTTAAACTTGCAAATATCCAGAGTTTATTGTTCTCATATCATTTTTAAACACACATAGTGGAAAAGTTAAAGGAATTTATTTTAGACGTAGTTGTTCAATTAAATCATATACCTATATGTGATATGTTGATGGCATGTCCATGGTACAAGTCAAGTAAGTATATGATGTCACTGTAATTGATAATATATTTACACTCAAAATAGCACCATATTGAATAAAGAGATTTAAATATTTGTGGCTATTCCAGTTGCAGAAATAAGGAAATTAAGTTATGAAAGTTAAGTTGTTTTAAAATTATTCAGTAAGAGATGAGGTCATATTGAGCCTAAGAACTCCTGATTCTAAATTTATTAGAATATTAGTATCTAGGCTAAGTATCTAATGAACAGAGGTTCATTCAATCTTTAAACCTACTTGCATAATGAGCAGCATATATTAATTAGGACTGATTGTACATTTAAGATGCGTTCAGATATGAGGATACCTGCTAAATACTTGTAGAGTTACATGTATTTTTAAAATATGTTTCTGAGTGAACCAGTGAGTTTATCAGGCATACTAATAGAGCACGGGTGAGAGGTCTTTATTGGAAAGTTACTGACCCTGAACAGCTGTGTCTGCAAAGTGCCACCCCAGCATGGGTGGTGACCTCCCGGAAGCTGCATCATGGAGACACACTTTCAGTTCACCACCTCAGGAGTTTACTATTAATTGTGGCTAATTGAATTAAACATTCATGTCTTGTGATTAAACCCAAGAACAGGACGATATGAAGAATAAGGTTTTAAGATTTTTGGTCAATATATTTTGTCAGTATTGCTCATGTCTAGGTGGAAACAGGATCGTAAAGTGACATCTTATGTTGTGTAAACAGAAAAGTATCTGGTTATGTTGCTTATATTGGGAACATATTGTTTATATTGTTATATTGTTACGTATTTGTTGTCAAGAACTTTGTATTTTATGTTTCTGACACTATACTCTGAAATTTGGCTCCAAAGAGATGTAAGATTGGAGGCAAATTGACACGGGAGGAATTTGCTCATGAATCGCATATTGTAGTTATAAAGTATTCAAAGTCACATATAACGGGGGGGTATAAGAGCATCTGACCCCGTCTAAGTTTCATATAAATTAAAAACAAGACAAACATGATTACAGATCCAATTGTGTATCACTGGCTATTATCAGTGTCATGTGGACACAGCAGTTAGAATGTTACTACGTTATAGGCCACTGGCTTTGACTGAATTATCTCTTCTGTGTGTGTGCTTATGTGTACATGTCCATGTAGTGGGAGCAGGTGCACATGTGTGCATGTCTGTGAAGGTCAGAGGTCAACCTTGAGTTTGTTCCTCGGATGCCATCCATGTTATTTTTGAGACAAGGCTTCTCTTTGGCTGGGAGCTCACCACCTTCCAGTGTTGGGACTTGCTTGGCTCTTTTTTCTGTTCAGCCCTAGCATAGGTGCTAGGGGTTAAGCTGAGGTCCTTATGCTGGCATGGCAAACACTTGCCCTACTGCGATACCCAGGCCCCCTCCTTTCTCTTGACTCACATCATCTGTATGGAGTGTGGAGTGAGGATTCTCCTCAATTCTGAGAACTTGTCTAACCTGTACAAGGCTCAGGTTTTGAGTCTCAGCACTCTAAACACAGCTTGACAAAACCCAAGTGTAACATAAGATGTATGATACTAAGACTTAGTACATTAATTAAACAAAACATACAGAAGTTTCATTATTGATAGTGGTACTGTTGTTGAGAGTGATAAGAGATGTGAAATATAATCAGCTCCTTTAAGCAACCAAAAATTATATATGCACAGCCACACTAGAAAAGCAACTGTTTCCAGAGTATTGAAAGGTATGGGACACATCTAGATTGCCTTTATTTCTAACAACTATCCTACTCTGGTATCTCAATGTGACAGAAACAATATCTAACGAGTTAGGGTTTAGAGTAGGATAGAGTCACTCTAGACTTTGGTTCTTTTCCTTACAGTTAAATCAAGAGGAGGGGCCATTGAAATGGCTCAATGGGTTAGTAAGCCATATGAGGATAGGGATTAGCCATTGCCTAAGGCTGGGAACCTGAGTGGGATCCAGAACCCACATAATGGTGGCTGCTGGGAAAGCCAACTCGGTAGAATTGTCCTCTGACCTACACACACACACACACACACACACACACACACATACATGGGGCCACATGCACACCTGCACTTACACACACAAAATAAGAGAATAAATTGAAGTAAATAAATCTGAGCAGCAAAGCCCAAGTGGTTGTCCCTGGATGGTAAATGAATAGAGCAGAGCCTAGCTCTAGAGGGATAGGGATCAGGAGGGTGACTGCGTACTTCTTCTCCTTCCACCCCAAACTGCGTGTGCCAAGAGTAGCTCCAAGGGGAAAGCAGTTGATGTTCTATGTTCCCATTTCTCTGCCCCACTTACTGGGATTTAAGAACTTTTAACGTCCCTTAGCTAGTGAGAAGGAAGAAGTTGGAGCCTTTCTACATTAGACTTGGTATGGTAAGATTGTGAGAGCTCTGGAAAAGTCTTCTCTCAGAAAGAGTTACGTAGAAATGCACAGTGTACTCCAGTGATTCCACTGCAAGGACTGTACCTGGAAAAATTAAAAAATGTGTGTCCGCAGATTTCTTGCTATGAGTTTACATAGCAGCATTGTGTTTAGTAGTGGACGGGGATATGATCTAACTAGTGACAGATAATTAGAGACTATTCCTATGGTGAGATACTGGTCTGCACTATAAGTAGTTAGTAACATATGCGAGGACAGGGATTAACCGTAAGACCTGAGGTAAGACACTAGATATCACATCTTGTATTATATAAAATGTTTAGAAAAAGTAAGTTAATATAGAAAGATAAATAGTTGCCTAGGGTAGCAACGCGGGATGCTGGAAAATGCTCTTGGGGGACTTTTCGGGGGGATGGAAGTAACCTAAAACTGTATTGGGGTAATGATTATGCAGTTCTTTAAATGTATTTTTCAATACATTTCTTAGCCTGTATGTGGAATGCGTGGAGTTTATGACATAAGTTAACCTTTGAAAGGTGGTTTTAAAAAAGATAGGGGTGCAGGGGTGGAGTGGTATGGTGGGTAAGGGTGCTTGCTAACAAGCATGGTGACCTACGTTTACTCTCCAGAAGTCACCATAGAAGAGAACTGAAAAAGAGGACCTTGACCTCCACATGTACACCTGGGCATGTGGTCTCATCACCCACAATGGGCAAATAAAAGGAGAAGAAAATTTTGTTATTGTTTTAAAAGAGTAAAGGGTAGAGGAAAGAAACTGAATGATATCGGGCAGTGTACTTGCCCTGACAAAAACAGTTTGTTTGTGTTGCTATGTGGGGCAGTCGCTTGCATGGTCTTCTTTTCGTATCAGTTTCACTTGTTCTGATGGAAAAGTAAAGTGTTGACATGACAGATTTGTCTCTATGTAAAGTAATTTCTATAGTGTTAAGCACAAATGCACGATAAAGTTCTCCTCCTCCTTGGAAATATCTCTTTACAGTAGTTTCAGTATACACTCATCAGGATGATGAAGCAGAGAGAAAAGGGAAAGGGGAGGAAAGGTTTGGACCCAGGGAGAAAGGACTTGCCATTCAGCTTCCTCGTCAGTCATCTGCTGGGTGTGCTCATAGTCAGTATCTCTCAGGAGGAGTCAGGAGAGGCCTTGGCTTTGTGAAATAAAAGAAGGAATTTTTTTCTCACTTTACATACTCAATTAGTTTTATTATTGCTCTTTCAGGTAGTATGGGAGAATTAATGAATAGGTAAAGCAAAGCCTTTATGCATAACCTTCTCAAATATTTGCATACTTTCTCCCATAAACTACACATGGTTCCTGCTCTCTTATCTACTGTCTGCTCTTTGTCATGACGATTAAAGAGTGCCCAGTAGGTTGATTCATATTCAGCAACACATTTTCAAGGAAAAATGACCCTGATTTATGTTGATTGGTAATTTTACATGATGTGAACACTGGCATCAAAGATGATCTCAAGCTTGTAGTGTATCTGTAGGATTAGAGATGCCCACAGCGAGTCTATGTGAGGTGTGCCAGTAGCTCCTTGGCCCTGCATGTATTTCTAGTCTGACCAGCTAAGTATAATAGATTTTGAAGATCCTGACCTTCTAATAAAAGGACTTTTGGTATCAGCAAAATTGACATGGCCTTCAATGTTGGTAGTATGTGTCATATTTAGTAATTTCACAATATAGACTAATATCTTTAATGTCCTGTTCTGAAACTTTTTAAATGACTCTTCGTGTGTATATGAGCTAGGATTTGCTCATGTATCACTTACTGAGTAGCTCAGATTCCCCTTTACTCAGGATCTTCTTTCTTCATCTTGAGTGCTAGGATTACAGATATGCACCACTGTACCCAGCTTAGAAAATGATACCCACATCTAACTATGAATAGAATATATGTTTTTAGAGTAAGTCACTTAAATATGGTTTATGTTTTTAAAATTAAGCAGTATGCAGAATTGAATCCTGTAAAGAAGTCAGAGCTGGGTGTGGTAGCCTGTGCCTGTAACTTCAGCTTCTACAGAATCTGAGACAGGAGGATTGAAAGCTTGAGGCAATTGTGAGAAATGTAGGAAGATTCTAACTCAAAATTCAGTACTTGCTAGTATGTCTGGCTCCTAGCACTTCTTCCCGTTAACATCAGGATGATATTGACTCAGATGGGAAATAGAGATGCGTTTACTGTTGCAGTATTCCATGAAGCATGCTGAATCGACTTAAATCAAGCTGCCTGCAGGGGGCGGTGACACGGTGAAGCCTCTTAGATTGATCACCTGCATTGGGAACTCTCTCATTGTGTGCATGGTGACCCAGAGAAGCCTGTGAGGTTTACCATATGCACTGGTAGTTCTCTCATTGTGTGCATGGTAACACAGAGAGCCTGTGAGGTTTACCACCTGCACTGGGTCCTCTATCACTGTGTGTGTTTGCTCTTAACAGCAGTTCGGTGGATCCAGCGTTCCGGTTCTTCAGCATCCAGCCCTTCCAGACGTTTTGCTCATCCCCATGACTGGACCAAGGTTTGTGGCTGTTTGCCTTTCCCTTTATTCTTCTAAATTAAAATCTGTCCCAAGATATTTGCTTGTTGACTGTATTGTCTGCATTCGTAGAGGCTGTTTAGAACCTGAGAGTCACATACCTGTAATCACATACTTGATGTTCCATCATGTCCTGTGGTGGAGGACCAGGACTGTACTCGACGACCTTGAAAATAGTGCATCTTCCATCTGTTTAATAGTGATGGACTTCATCCTCACTTTTTAGAAGTTTCATCTTGTTTACCTACATTTCTGTTATAAAAAGATTTATCTTTATTTTATGTGTACAATTATTGTCAGCTTGTATGTGTGTACATCATGTACATGCTTAGTACCTGCAAAAGCCAGAAGAGGCTATCAGATCCACTGGAACTTGAGTTATATATAGATGGTTGTAAGCTGCCAAATGGGTCCTCTATAAGAGCAACTCTTAACTGCTGAGCCATCTTCCCAGCACCTGTTTACCTATAGTTCTTATGAGATTCCAGGATTAAAAGGTTTTTTGAGTTATAATAAATAAGTATTGTATTTTATAATTGGGTTTTAAAAATTTTACCCTTAACAATTATGTCAACTTACTTGTTGACATAATATATGTGTCAGATGTGGTTCTCCTTTACATATTTGGAAGACGTAGTTTTGATCATTGAAAAAGAGCTTCCAAAAAAAAAAGACAAAGAGCTTCCATGTTATAAGAATGCTTTTCCCAAGTAGCACATGAAAGACACGACTTATGTTATAAAATATTTGAACTTGAGTTTGGTAAATATAAAAATACTTATGTTGCTAAAGCTTTGAAATACTTTGATAGTAACAAAACAATAATTGTATAAATTATGCTTAATCTATGTTATAAAATACTAACACATGTATATGTGTATATATATGTATAATACACATGATGGAGTTCATTCATATATACATATATGTATATATATGTACACACACACACACATATATACATATAAGTATATATATGGAAACTTTCTTGTATTCTTCTATTCTAGTAGACAAGCCAGGTTGATTCTGCACAGTTCTGAAGCAGTGACTGCAGTGACTGCAGTAGGTGATGATCACAGGCCATTGGGTTTACATTTTTTTATGTAGATGCAAAGTTGCTGTTGATTAGGTTCAGCTTTTGGCTGTTTCTCATTCGGAACTAATAATCTCAATCTCCCTCTCTCTCTCTCTCTCTCTCTCTCTCTCTCTGTGTGTGTGTGTGTGTGTGTGTGTTCAATTTCCTCTCCTCTTAACACAGTATGAGGTGTGCGGTGTGCAGATAAGCAGGCTGTACAGCACAGCCTGGCTTCCAAGGCTCAGCCCTCTGGCCTCAGTCTCTCTGCACTGGGATCCTAGGCCTCCCTCAGCATGCTCAGTTTCAGTTTGTTGCTGTTAATGAGGAGAATTTAAGTAGAATTTTTCCTTTAACTTTATGAAAAACAAGACAGGTTTATCATTGTTGTCAGTAGGATGCAGTGATTTCTTGAGAGTTGTGTAAGCAGGTCTGCAGAGTTAACTCTCATGATGTCAACTACTATTGAGAGGTTTCTGCTAGCCCTGAACCTGAACTCTGTTTTAAGAGCGGCTCTTTGCCAATAGTCTATTACGTAAGTTGTCTGTCTTCATGTTCTGTTTGCCTTCTTTCTCAAATGGGAATGAAAGCCGTTGTTAGCTATAGGACTGTGGTGAGACTTCAGTAATTGATTAGAATAGTGCATGGTGTATTGTATAGATGCATTAAGAGTTAGCAGTGTTTACCTGCTTCTAACTAACTATTGTTTCAAAAACCTTGCTATCATTTGTTTCCTAAACTAAAAACAGTTTATTGTTATGATTTTGTATTCTCATTGTTCTTTCTCTCTGTTTTGTATTTTTAAGTGTATCTAAAGATAAACATTTGGGGTATTTTTCTCTTTTGTGTCCCCTTTTAATGTGCCTTTTGCTTATTAAGAATACTCTTGTAGTATCATATAGGCACAGGCTCCTTGTACAAATTCTTCCTGCATGTCTCTCCTTTAACTTGTATGTGTGTGTGTGTGTGTGTGTGTGTGTGTGTGTGTGTGTGTGTGAGGGGGGTTCAGGGGACTTGGGAAAAAGGGAGGGCTTGACTGTGGAAGTCACAGGATAGCTTGCAGGGATGGGTTCTGTCTTTCTGTCATGTGGGTTCTGGGGATGGAACACTTTTATCCACTGAGCCATCTTGCTGCTCTCTCTCCTTAACTTTCATGTGAACACTGTGGAAGAATTTCACATCACAGGAGGGTCTAAATTTGTGCTGTTTGTAGGACATGTAGGTGTTACAAAGATGAGGCCTCAATTGTTCAGTTATTGTCAGAGAGCCTTGGCAGGTCAGACTGCTGGAACTGTAGGAAGGTCCGAGACCACAGGAATTTGGAGATATTTTATTTCAGTTACTTAAGGATGATTGGTTATTAGATTGATAGATGAGATAGGAAGGGCAGGGTGTGCTCTGTCTAAGCAGAGAACAAAAGGACAGATGCAGAGGCAGGGAGATGTGTGGCAAGCCTGGATGAAAGTGATCACATTGGCCACTCAGCTGGTTTCCAGCATGGCAGGGGAAAGCAAAGAGGTTGAGAGAGGCAGGCTGTGAACTGCAGAGGATTATTTTGTTTCTACTAAGACAGCTGAAGACATGGGATGAGGTTAGTGATTAGAGCTGCAGCTTAGAAACAATAACACTAGCAGAAGTTACTCATTAGTGTGTCCTGAAACAAGTTCCGTGGTTGTACTACAAGCATTTAAAAATAAATGGGAAGTTTTATCACATGGTGATTCTCATAGGAAAGGTGTTTATGGCCAGGCAGTGGTGGTGCACGCCTTTAATCCCAGCACTTGGGAGGCAGAGGCAGGTGGATTTCTGAGTTCAAGGCCAGCCTGGTCTACAGTGTGAGTTCCAGGACAGCCAGGGCTATACAGAGAAACCCTGTCTCGAAAAACAAAACAAACAAACAAACAAAAAAACCAAAAAACCAAACAAGACAAAAGAAAACAAAAATGTGTTTATGGAGCTTATTATAAATATAAGCTTGTAGCCATATATTTGGCATTCATTTGATTTCTTAGATAAGGATACAAATAAAATTGCAAGAGATCTTTTTCTCAAGAAAATGAATTGCAAAGCTGTAGACCAGATAGGAAGTTATTACAGTCTTTTAGTTCCAAAGGTACAGCAAACTTGAACATCTGTATACTTTTAAGAATGTGTGTAGAGAGAGTAGAGTGCACTATAAACTACAAAGGCAGTCAAGACCTGAGTGGAAGTGAGGAGTTAATAAGAGCCAACAGGAAGATCTGGAGGATTGTGAGCTAACAGGAGGGAGCTGGAGCTTGGGGAAAGGAAGCTGTTGGCTGGTTTTCCAAACATAGGGGCTTTGAGTTTAGCAATGTGGTAATGCTGGGCATGAGGACTATCCAGCAGTCAGCCTGAGGTAGTAATTACAAAGAGGGTCTCTCATTGTAAGATCCAGATTTGAGAAAGAACCCTCTGGACAAGTTAGAGAAAGACCTAAGAGGAAAAACAAGTTGATACAGAAGTGAAGAGTTATGGAAATTATGTGCTTGTTCAATAAGTTAAATTTAAAGTCAGCCTTTAACTTTATAGAGTTAAGTGATGACTCTGAGGGAAATCACCTGCAACACAACAGAGACAAAGACCTTAGAAATATGAATGCATAGTGAGAGCAGAAAGAACAGTTAGCCTGGGCTCCAGATGTGAAGAATAGAAAATGTAAGAAATAGGAATTTTTCACAATTGCTGAAAGACAACTTTAGGAACTACAAACCAGAAGCCCCATATGAAAAACACAAAACAAACCCTCACGAAAAAGAAAACCCTAAATATGAAAGCCTTCCAAAAAATCTGTATAGACACTTCAGAATGAAACCACCGCCCATCTAATGCTCTACAGAATTGGTGAAGCTGAGAGTCGCCGGGAGTCGGAGAACTGAGTAAAGTGGCTGAGTCTCAAAACGGGGCTCCCAAGACCTATCACACAGACACAGCTCAACTCAGCATGCAGAGGGGTTAGGATGTGTGAGACTCTTAGTCTGTATTGTTGCTGCAGCAGCAAATGCTTGAGACCAGGTAATAAAGAGGCTGGCAATTCTAAGACCAAGGTGGCCTGGCTTTCCTGGTGTCGTGTCATGTGATGGAGATATGAGCACAAGAGAGCGAGCCCGTTCCTGTAGACCCCTCTAGAGCAGTGTCCATCCATTCATGAAGGCAGGGGTCCTATATTCCAATACAGCTGTACTGAAAAGTACTGCTAATAACATGTGAACTTATGGAGACACTGTAGATCCTAGCTCCAAGTCTTCTAGTTTGGTTATCTAGGTTGTCTAGGTATATCTCATTAAAGACTGAAGATGAAAAGACCTACTATCATACCAAGATTTTAAGGCATCTATCGGCAATACATACTGCTCGGGATCTGTTGAGTTTGGAACAACTGTGGTTCATCTATAGATAGTTAAATTTATGTAATTAGAAATATCAATGGGGAATCTTGATAGAATGAATGCTAAGGATATTTTGATGTTGTTTCTTTGGTTTTTAGTGATAGATTTCATTATGCTCCTCAGGCTGCTTTTAAAAAGTAGGTCCAAGTTACCTTCCCGATTCAGCTTCCTGATTAGCTGGATCTATAAGTCTCGTAGCACTGTGACTAACTGGGTTAAGATTGACCGTGGTTAGCATGTCAGGTGAGTGATGGATGGAGGCCTGTTCTGCAGGTGGAGGAGTGTGCCTCCTTAGGAAGGAGCACCGAGTGAGCAGTGTCAGTGCATGGGACCAGGACAGGGTGACATTGGCAAGGGTTGTGAGATCTGCTCACCAGAGGTCACAGGGAAAGAGGGAAACCATGGAGATTACTCCACAGTGAGTGGTGACAACACCGGAGAAATATTGCCTGCCAGAGACGCTCAGTAGACATTCAGTCCTCAGAACTGTTGTTGAGAGCTGGCCAGGTGAATGCCTTCCTGGTGTCAAATGCCTTTTCCCTGTTAGGATGGATGCCAGGATTCTAGTGCTGTGAGAAAAGTTTAATCAGGATGTGAGACACTGGAGAGCTCAAGGCCGGGCAGGAATGAAGGAATGTAGGGAAAGGATTTCATTTCTATTTAACTGAAAATGTTCAACAGTATAGCACATCGGAAGTATTTTCATTCCCTTTGCAGTTTTCACGCTTTAGGTTTTGAAGGCTATGCAATCTGTGTAACACTTTTCATGCTGCACTCATTCCTTCCACTAGAGGGCCCTCTTTCTCAGTTTTTTATTTCTCTCTCTCTCTCTCTCTCTCTCTCTCTCTCTCTCTCTCTCTCCCTCCTTCCCTCCCTCCCTCCCTGTGTGTGTGTGTGTGTGTACAACTTCCACAAATCATATGTCTCCTATCACATGGACCTGCGTGGATCAAATTCAGGCAGCAACTGCTTTACCAGTTGAGACATCTTTCTTGTACATTTTTTTTCTTTTTTCAAGTGTCTATTCTTTTTACCTGTTCTTCCTTGCTGTGTAAACTGCTGCTTTTTTATATCTTTTTCAAATCTTTTTCTCAGTGGTTTATTTAGGAAAATCAAGACTTAACAGGCTATGTATATAAAGCCTCTTTAAATAATATTATTATTCTTTTAAAGTTTCATACATTTATACTGTGTGTATTGATCATATCCATCCACTAATATCTCTAATGAATCTTTTAAAAAGCTTATGGTACTGGAAAGATATCATTTTTTAATTTTTCTTTTTTCTTTCTTCTTTTTTTAAACATTCCTAGGAAGAATATAGAAAAACAACAGTGTGAAGTGATTGTTGGTGCACAGTGTGGCAATGCAGTATTAAGAGGGGCCCATGTCTATGTTCCAGGAATTGTATCAGCTTCAAAATGTAGGTATAAGATTGAGAGCACCCTACAGTTAATGAGCATGATGGGTTGGAAATTGACATACATTAAATCTGCCTTTGTTAGATACTTCCTGACATTTTCCATGGAGGATTTTGTCCTATAAAAATAAATGTTATAATAGCAGTTTTAACTGTTTGCTTGACACAGTGCACAGTCACTTGGTCTGATCTGTGGCAAATTATCATGATAATGTTAATTGGAGTGGGAAGGCGTGCCTGGTATGGCAGCATTCCTTAGGAAATGGGATTTCCTTAGGAACTGGGGTCCTGGATGTCCAGGGGTGGAGAAGGAAAGCATTTATTAATTGCTCTCTGCTCTTGACTGAATGTAACGTGTTCTCTAGGGAACAGAGAAATACAGAATGTAGAATGGTAGTGAAGGAGACTGAATCATGCAATGGCACGCGCATAGGTACCCTCATGCAGTGGCACAAGCATGAATACACATGTGCACACAGACATGTTTATTTTTCTTACAAAAGGCGGTGCAGTTCCATATTGTACTCCTGATTTCACTTCCTTAAAACCTCTGTCTCCTCTCAGGACATTCATGAGGGTGACATCCAGAATCCCAGACAGTGACATAAGCTTGGCGCCTTCATGGGTTCACTCTGGTAATGGTGTATTGCTCGTGCTTACCTGCTGCAGTGGCCCCTTACTGGCTTGGCTCTATAACAAATGTCTTCAGTTCTGGACCTCACCCATCCCAGGTGTGATGATCTGGAGAGTGGCTGCTTGATGGCCTAGTGTGGCTCTGGCTCTTTTAGTATACTCTTTTATTGAATCCTTTTGTAGACGACTTAAAATGTTGAGTATTGGGTCATGATACTAGACTTATATAACAACTTTTACTTAATATTTGATTAGATTATAAGTCATATAGATGATGCTTCCTGTTTAGTTGAAGATTTAGATAGGATTTTTGAGTACCATTTCTGTGTTTTCAGTGAAAAAAAAAAGTGTACATTAGATATTAGGAAGTATTTCAAGGCTAAGAGTTGAGTGGCTGTTGGGGATTATGCTGAGACAATGAGCCAGTTTATATTTAGTCTTGTCTACAGTTGATGTCTCTTCAGATAACCATTTTAGCTTGAAGGATTTTCACTAGTCTGCTGAAGCACAGGTTAACAGTCTGATTTTATTCTTTTTCTAGTTATGAAAGCTGGAGATGTTATTTCTGTATATTCTGATATTAAAGGCAAATGTAAGAAAGGAGCCAAAGAATTTGATGGAACTAAAGTATTTCTTGGAAACGGAATTTCTGAACTCAGCCGCAAAGATATCTTCAATGGGTTACCTGACCTGAAGTATGTCACTGAACTCTGTGGGGGAAATAAATTCCTTCTTGTGGTTCAAAAAGCTCAAAACAGTGGAAAGGCATATTTTGTTATACTATACAAAATTTTCCATGACTTCAGCTGGAGAAAATGAGCCCATATTTCCATGATTTTTGGAAAGAGCTCTTTTTTGGTCAAAAAAGGTAAATAGATTAAAAATCAAAGCAGTAGAATGTGGATGAACTCAATGGTAGAGTGTGTTGCTGACCTCCCCAAGAGGCCCTAAGTTCAGCCCTCAACAGTGCAAGGCTAAGCAAAAGCCCAGGGGAGTGACTGATCATACTGTAATTGGGTAAGAATTTTACTTGTCCTATTAGATTTTAATTGTTTACACTTTGAAGAACAATGTTTATCTTTTTTTTCTTTTCAAATTGTTTGGTTTATTTATACTGTACTGGGGAAGCATACCAGAGTTGCTTACTGCAGGGTACATGGTAGTTGCTCCTCAAAATGGCTACAGTCATGGCAAGCTGGATGACTTTTTTTTATTGGATATTCTATCTACACTCCAGCTGCTGAGAAAGCATTTGACAAAATGTTTATCTTAATAGAGAATTAGATGACTTTTCAAAATTCTCATTTTATCAAGAAAAATTTAATTTTACTATAAAGCAAATATAAAAAATTATTTTTAACAAAAATAAATTAGACCTGAATTGTAGCTTTCATATGAATATATATGATCAAAACTAAATGTTTCAATTTGTTCAAACCACATTGATATATAATTAGTTCTTTTTTGTTGTTGTTGTTGTTGTTGTTGTTGTTTTTCGAGACAGGGTTTCTCTGTGTAGCCCTGGCTGTCCTGGAACTCAGTCTGTAGACCAGGCTGGCCTCGAACTCAGAAATCCGCCTGCCTCTGCCTCCCAAGTGCTGGGATTAAAGGCGTGCGCCACCACCGCCCGGCATATAATTAGTTCTAAATCATATTTGGATGTTGGTAGCGTTGAGTAGATTACAGCCTTGAAAAGAGAGGACCCGCTTAACCTGGTTTCATGAGCTTGTTTTAGGAGCTGTAGAGCACCATTGCTCCAAGGTTGGCGGCTGGTATACATGAACTAAGCACTGTGACTTGAGCCGTTTAGAAAGGTTCCAGAGTCCTCATTTCTGAGCAGCCTGTCACGTTGGAGTGGCCTTTCTATATGAATGAAGTAAATTCTCCTAAAGAAACAGATAGTTAGGCTGTCAGGGTCTAAGAAAGAAACGTTTTCCAAATGGCTAGATCCTGATTGTCTTCTTCTTAGAATGTTTTGTTCACACTTGGGAGGCAGAGGCAAGTGGATTTCTGAGTTCAAGGCCAGCCTGGTCTACAGAGTTCCAGGACAGCCAGGGCTATACAGAGAAACCCTGTCTCCAAAAACCAAAAAAAAAAAAAAAGAATGTTTTGTTCATATAGTTATGTCTCGCTTTGAGTGCCCACTTTAGTTACTTGCTAATGGTGTGCTCTCATTTCATATGGTGTTTCTAATGACTGCTGAACCATGTTTGCTTTCCTGGTGGGAGTAAAAGGTAGCCATTCTTCAAAAAGCCTGTCGGCTACTCTGCAGGGCTTGTAAGTTCTCTCCTACTGATAATTATGGAGCACGCCTCTCAGATGCAGTGTTTGTCTTTATGAATCACTGTCTACAATGCCATTCTGTGTCCCGCCCAACCCTTCCTGTTCCCAGCAGCTCCACTGCCACTAGTAAAATGGGACAGAGGTAGAAAAGGTCATCTTGGGACAGTGCAGTACTGGATATACTGGGCAGCTGTTCTGTAGAAAGATGGGAGTGGAGTAGGGCCCTGCCTTTGTCAGTGCTCAACATCAGCACAAGCTTAGGCGTTTTCCTCATTTTCATATAAGTATCTAGCAGAGTCATGCACAAAACATGTTAACTCATTAGATTGAACCAATAAGAATTATGTATTCTCTGCCTTTTAACTTACTGAACTCTCAAAAGAAACTCTTGTGCTTACTAAAATAGTTTGTGACTTTATTTATTTATTTATTTATTTGGATGAGCCTCTCCTGTAAAATTCAAAACAATCAACAAGACCATTCTAATTTGTTAAATTAAACAAGTCTTTAAATGCAGAACAGTTTATATTTGATGAGTATTTCCTACAAATATATACTATATACAGACTAATATTTAATTTCTTATTTTTTTAGGGGTATAGGCATAAGAATGACAGAACCCATTTATCTCAGTCCCTCATTTGACAATGTTCTACCCAGTTATATATTTTTACAGGTAAGAAAAATACTGAGTGACATTGAACCATTTGGATAAATTATTAGGAAGTATTTTTCTCTTTTTATTAATATTCTTGTGGCTCTTTATCTTCTGACTTACCATTCTCAAATACCAAGATTGTTCTTGTGAGCACTCTTGGTTTCTTCTTCTGTATTGATTTAATACTCTGTCCTCTGTGTCTAAAGGTAATTTATGATATGATACAATTACCACTTTTCATCTCAGAGTGTTAGTCATAAGTAATGCACATATTGCCGTGCAGCTAAAGGCTCCGGTTGTGAGAGTAAGATTCATTCTTACTCAGGTGGTGTGCTGCCAGCAGGTGTTTGTCAGCCTGTGATTAAGGGCTGTGATAGGATGACTCATTTTACCTTTCCTAGCTTCTTAAGTCCATTCATGACCATCAACTCATTTTAATGCTACTATTATATAAAATGGAAAAGACTAGATTTGTTGGGGTTCTTGGTCAAAGTCACACTGCTAATAATAATCAGCAACATCTGAAGTTAAACCCATGACCAGGAGCAACGTACTTTCCTCTTCCCAGTAGTAAACCAAAAGATACTACACAAATTTGGAGATTATTTCTGGGAGAAACAGATGGAAGTTATTTGTGTGTGTGTGATTTCCTAACTGAACCTCAGGCTGATGTAGAGCAGTAGGACCGATAGCCTTCTACCTGTTTGGCTGTGAATCACTTTGGGTGATTTTGTTTGCTTGGTTTGATTTTGCTAGTGATCATTTCTAATACCCCTGACTCATGGTGGGTGTTTTCTTCACACCTTCGCACTACTAACATGAAAGAAGTCTTCATTTTCTCTTTGGTAAGATAAAGGACCATATGCCTGCTTGTCATATAATTTAGTTTGGACTTTAAGAAGGAGAAGTCTGTATACTAACTTGAGCTACCTCTCCTGATTTTGGGATTTACCTTTTTTTTTTTCAGTTGCATGTATGTGCATATGTTTGCATTTTGGGTATGTGCAGCAAGTGCAGGTGCTCATGGAGGCCAGAAGCAGGTGTTAGACAGACCCAGGGAGCTGGAGTTGCAGGTGTTTGGGAGCTGCCTAATGAATATTGGGAACTGAACTCAGCTCCTCTGCAGGAACAGTATCTCTCCGAACTGCTGGACGATATTTTGAGCTCCTTGGATTTCTGACTATAAAACTAGCTCAGGGATGACTATAACATATAATCATGAAATTTGTAATCCATATTATCCATACATGCCATAAAACTATTTTTTTCATTCTGTAACAAAAGACATTAGACTACTGCTGGACTAAAGCTTTTATATTTGAAGATGGAGTTTAACTTTTTGTTATTTTCCTAGTGGAAACTTTTTTTTTCATGTAATATTATATGTAGCATGCCACTGATTAGCCTATGAAACCAACTAAAATTATAATGATGATCACAATTAATGCATACTGAGTGTTTAACTATGTTCCACTAGTGTTTCATATATACTACTTTATGTATCACTTCAAAATGTCTAAGGTCATAGATAAGGCAACAGAGAGTTAAAAAAATAAAGTATATAGTAGGCAATGTCTAACTGTGCCTGATTGACTGTAAAACAGAAACTGCAAATTTGAACCCAGGTCTTTGATTCAGACATGTCCTTGAGGCATAACTCCTGGAGGCCTGTACACATATTAGTGTGGGGCTCAGTTAAGACACAGGTTCTGATCCAGTCTGCGCTGGTGGAATGTAGGCTCTGGGACATTCCTATGTTTCCTAAGTATTCCAAATTCTGCTTTTATAGCTTTGTGACCTGAGGCTAGTTGGTCTAAAAATTTTAATGATCTTTTAATATTAAACTTCTCTTTGGAAACTAGTTCAGAACCACCAGATGATTTTTCAGTTGCAAAAAAAAATATTTTTTCATACAATATATTTTGATCATGTTTTTCCCTTCCTCCAATACCCAGTTCCTCCCAGGTCCCTCCCTCCTCTCTACCCACCCATCTTTATATTCTTTCTCTTTCAAAAAAAAAAAAAAGCCAAAAATAAAACACCAAGCAAATTGAACAGTAAACAAAACCAATAAACACCTCCCCCAGCAATCCCACAAAAAACAAGCAAGCAGCAGACCAATAAAACAGAAAAAATAAATAGAGAAAGCCAAAACAAAAATGAGACAAAAAGTCCACAAAAGTACCACTGAGTTTGTGTTGTGTTGACCAACTATTCCAGGCATAGGGCCTTCCCTGTATGTGATTTATAAATACCCAGTGAGCGTCCATTGGAGAAAATTGATTTTACCTTAGTAGTAATACCAATTGTAGCTAGCTTCTAGGAGAGAAGTGGGAGGTCATGGCTGCTCCCCCTCTCAGTGCTGGACCTTCTCAGGCTTGAGTCTTCTGTGTGCTGGCACAGTTTCCTTGAGTTCCTGGGTATTGTCCTGTTGTGTCTTGAAGACGTTGTTATCTATGGAGTTATCTTTGTCTCTGGATTTTAGAGTCTTTCTGCCTCTTCTTCTGCATAGGTTCTTGAGCAGACAGGGCCTTGATGAAGACATCCTACTTAGGAACACGTGGTCTAAAGTCTCTCTGTTTTCACCTTGTCCAGTGCGGAGTCTGTTAATTTTCATCTATGAGAAACAAAGCTGCTTTGATGAGGGTCGAGCCAGGCACTGATCTACGGATATAGCAGTATGTCATTCCTGTATTATTTTCTTCCTTTAGCAGAATAATAGGATTGGGTTTTCCCCTAGGCCCATGACCTGTCACAGGTTCTGGGCAAGTTTAGAAATGTCAGGTATGGGTTCCATCTTATGGAGTAGACCTTAAGTCCAATTAAAAAAAAGTGGTTGGTTACCCATTTGACATTTGTGTCACTGCTGCACCAGTATCTATTGCATTGGGGTCACTGTTATAGGTTATGGGATTTATAGCTGGAGATATTGACAGTTACCTTTCTCCTTCAGTCGCAAATAGAGTACCTTCAGCACCAGGGCTTCTAGTCAGTAGGGGTGAAACTTCTACTTAGGTACCAGCTTAACTTCTCAGTGCTTGTCAATATGTGCGTGTGTGTGTGTGTGTGTGTGTGTGTGTGTGTGTGTGTGTGTGTGTATACCACAATGTGTATATATATTATCAATGTGTATATATATATATATATATATACATATAATCAATGTGTATATTACCAATGTGTGTATACACACACACACATATACATATACATCATATACATGTACATATGTCTAGCAGTAGAGCTTTACCATCAGGTTTTGGAGAATAACCAATAGCCTTGGCAATATCCTGTGATGTTTGGGAGTTTCCCATTCCTGACAATGGAGATTTCACTTGGTGTCAAAAGCTATCTGGTTGGAGCATTGCCTCTCCTATTGTGTGGTGACACCATATATATATCCCTTTTTTATATGTATATGTTTTAGGAAACTTCTACAATAGTAGGTTTCCATATGGTTTTTCAAATGCCCTTTAGTGTTAATTGTCTCTCCCTACCTTTACCCTTCTCTCCCATCTCCCTCCCTATTTAATCCTCCTATTTGTTTTCCCTTTGTCTCTCTATAACATATGTTGCATTTCTCTTCCTTGGGAATTCTTTCTCGTTCTCCTGGCTCCTTATGATATACCTAACCTCTGTGATTATTTGTATTGCAGCATTACATTTCAAAGGATTTAAGGCTAACAACCACACATAAGACATACAGTATTTATATTTTGGGGTCTGAGGTTACCTTATCCAGGATGATTTTTTTTTCTAGCTTTATTCATTTATTAGCTAACCATGTAGGCTGTTTCCAATTTCTGGCTATTATGAATAAAACACCAATTAACAGGAATGAGCAAACGTCTCTGTAGTAGGGTGTAGAGTCTTTGGGTACATGCCCAAGGGTGGAATAGCTAGATCTTGTGGTAGATTAATTTTCAGTGTTTTAAGGAACCCTCATACTGATTTCAATAGGTTGTGTGTGGCAGTGAATAAGTGTTTCTCTTTCCCCACAGCCTTACCGGCTGTCACGTGTTTTATTGATCATGGGCATTCTGACTTGGGTTAGATGAAATCTCAAGAGAGCTTTAATCTACATTTCTCTGATGACTAGGAAGAAAGGCTAATAGGACAGCAGGGGAGAGTCAGGCCACTGGTGTTTGCATTGAGAGACCAAGTCCCAGGGAATGGAGCTGATGAGGAGGGCGGGGCTCCTGTAGGCAGGCTGCATGGAGGTGATGAGGAGGGCGGGGCTCCTGTAGGCAGGCTGCATGGAGGTGATGAGGAGGGCGGGGCTCCTGTAGGCAGGCTACATGCAACTAGACTAAGTCTGGAGAGATCAGAATGGAGAACAGAAAGGATAATGAGAATCACCTACCTTCGTCTCAGCCCTATGTGGCCACTGGGGTTTCTTAGCTATCAGTTTCTTAGTACCTTGTTTGATCTAGAAGAACTTGAATAGGTTGGTTGAATGTAGGTAACAATAGTTTCCTTAAGGAGTTCCAAAAAAAGAAAAAAATGATCAAAAGAGTAAGTTTTGCTTAAAATTTTTAAAATTATATTTATATATTCATAATTTTTGGAAGGGTCATTGCTGCTATGGCCCTGAGTGAAGGTCAAAGGACAACTCCTACCACCATGTGGGACTTGCAGGTTGAACTCTGGTTATCAGGTTTGGTGGCAGGCACCTTTACCTACTGAGCCATCTCAGTGGCCACATTTAAGTTGTAGAATTTGAAAAAAAAATCATTACCATCGTTATTGTTGAATTCTTAAATATGTACCAGATTGTCCCAAATGGAAAAGTTTCACAGTTGTGCATAGTGGTACGAGAACACAGATGACTTTTTAGACAAATGTGAACTGTGAGGTGACTGTGGTATTTGCAGGTGGTTAAAGGATCATCACTGAAAGTGCAGTAGGACCACCATGTCGATCGGAGAGGTTTTATATTTTTAAATACTATTCTTAAAACAATATTCAGAAGCTGAAATCACCCAGGGCGGCTGAGGCTGAAGGGCAAGTTATGGGAGGCTCCCTTGGTGTAGAAAAGCTACACCCAGAGCTTTTCTCAAAATGAAGACATGCACACGTGTACACTGCAGACAACCAAAGAGAATGGTGCTCTGAAAACAACTTGTCAATCCTCTTTGCTCTTAGGTAGCCACACTACATTTCTTTGAAAGCTAAGAAACTGATGGAAGCCATGCTTGCTGTGATCATTCTGGCTGCAGGGATTCATCTGCTGTAATACAAGAGATGAGAATGGCCCTGCCTAGAACTTAGCCTACCCAGAATCTTCCTGTGTCGTTCAGTTTTGAGTACCTTCACCCTGATCAGCAGGTCTGAGAAATTGCTACATGCCTCCTTCCTTGCAGAGCTTAAAGCTTAGCTGCCTGGGGTCTGTTCTTGAGAAGTTCCTTCTTTTTTTAAAAAAATTTTCTTTAAATTAATTCAGAAGTAAGTTTTCAATTGCAAAGTCCAATTTTAGAATTGTACCTTGTTGAGGCAGGGTCTTACTTGTTTCTGCCCTTCTGCTCTTCCCAACCAGCTGGCTCCTGAGCTGCGGGATGTCTCTCCTGTCTCCACCTCTCGTCTTTCCTTGAGAAAGCTGGGGTTATTATAGATAAAGCTTTTTATTGTTGATTTCATGGCAGGATTTACTCTCTGAGCCACTAGAGAGATAAGTGACTGTCACATCACTTTGAGGTTAAAAGTCACTCTTGTAATTTTTCAAAATATCTTTGAGAATAGGAGAACATGTAAAGTGTAAGAAAATCTTGGTTCAAGGTAATATTCTTGGTCCTTCAGTAACTCGTGCCAGTGGTAGCCTGATTTTAAAGTTCGGCATTAAACTGCTACTTTGCGTCTGTTTTCTCAAGCCTACACTCATTGGCTTATAACTTAATTAAATGGATATTACTGTTCTTATTAAATGTGTGTGTGTATGTTTGCACGTTTCATAGCTTGCATGCTTAGGTCAGAGGACAGCTTGTGGTAATTCTTTTCCTTCACCAGGTAGGACCAGAGGATCAAAATCAAGTTGTTAGATTTGACAGCAAGTGTGTCTACCCACTGAGCCATCTCTCCAGCCATGGTACAGTTTCCTGACTGGTGTTCAGTAACTGACTTATGAAGAAGTACCTTGAAGGTGACAGCTAAAGCATTTACACATTGAAGTCACCTCAAGTGTGTGTAAGACCTTGGCAGAAGCTATCCCTTCAATCCTTATGATAATTGAATTCACTGTAGAGAACCAGTGAGGAACAGCTAGGGAATCTGTGCTCTCCATGCCTTTGGATGCCTCTTTCCTGGTCTTTCTCTGAAAGAACCATTATCTTCTAAGTCTCTGTTCTTCACTTCTCCCAACATTAAGTGTGGACACTGTTATATTTTGTTTGTGTATTGAGTTGAGAGGCTGTATTGTTAAGGCTCACCTTTTTTCTTTTTCTTACAGAATTTGCCATCTACGGTTGTAGCTCATGTACTTAATCCTCAACCTGGAGAGAAGATTCTAGATTTGTGTGCAGCCCCTGGGGGCAAAACTACACATATTGCAGCACTGATGCAGGACCAGGTGAGATGCCTTAATGCCAGGCTCCTCTCAGTTCACACGGCCACTGAAGGTAACATAGGAAATACTGCTAAAAATGTGTTCTAAAAAGAAAAAAGGGAGGCGTGGAGAGGAAAAGGTGAGGTGCTGGAGTAATTTCTGTTGGTGCCCTTGACACAGAGGTTATGGGAAGTGGGCAGCTGACATGAGTTTGGCTGCCTGTCTTTCTGGTGTTTTATTCTGGTGTTGGACCTATCTATATTGGCTCCTGCTTCACACCTGCCTGTCATGATTTTATTAGCTTTCCTTTGCATACTGCGGGCCTCAGGTGGCATCGACATGAGAAGCTTCACTCCCCTTAAAAGCTCTGGGTTCTATCGTTTATTGTTCTTCCAATACATAGGGACTGTGGAAAAGAACCACAGCTCTAAGATTTGTACAGGAGGAGGAGCTGTCTTCATATTTGTGAAGCCTCCTGAGTCATGACCCCCTGTACTCCACAGAGTTCTTGGGGCTTTGAAATGTCCTCTTTGGGGCTCTACAACACTGACAGGTACTCGAGCCACCTCTGACCTCAGGCTCCATCCACCAGACACCAGTGCTCTTTCCAGTCAGAGAGTGAAGAGGCTCTGGGCATGCTCTTTCTGACTTGAGCGCTTCCTGCGTTTTTTTAATCAGTCGGCTCCTGGACCTCCTGGCCAGCCACAAGACCTGTAGCAGTTTCCATTCAAGTTCCGTTGCCTATTCTCCATCTCCAAGGTAGTTCATTATAAATAATAACATCCCTCTTGAGATAGCACCCAGTGAGTCCTAGGGAGTGACGATTGGGACTTTCCTCCACTGCTGACCTCCAGAGTCGCTGCTTCAGCAAAACCTGTTCAAGGCTTTGTCCTAAAAGTAGGATTGTAGTGTCTCCTCACCATGGCTGCCTGGGATCATGCTGCTGAACTGTGTTCCTGTCATTGCCTCTGTGGCTCTGATCTTCCTCCTGTTTCCTCTTTGGAGGACTCTTTGCTTTACTGGATGTCTTAGTTAAGGCTCTGTTGCTGTGATGAGACACCATATGACAGAAACTCTCATAAAGGAGAGCATGCAACTGGTGCTGGCTTACAGTTCAGAGGTTTAGTCTATTATCGTTATGGCAGAAAGCATGATGGCATGCAGATAGACATGGTGGTGGAGAGGAGTTCAGAGTTCTGCATCTGGATACACAGGCAGCAGGAAGAGAAGGTGAGCCGCGGGGCTTGGCTGGGCCTTGTGAAACCTTAAAACCCACCCCCAGTGACACAGTTCCTCCAATAAGGCCACATGTCCTAATCCTTTGAAATAACGGCACTCCTTATGAGCCTATCAGAGCCGTTCTCATTCAGATGTTGCACTGGTTCTTCTCCTTACCGGGCTCACACTCCTCGGGAGCTGCTCAGTTGTCACCTGATCCTGGTGTCCTTTAGCAGCATTTGAACTGCATGTCTTTCCAAAGCGTTTTGCTGTGACACAGAGAGCATTGGGGTCATGACATCCTCATTTTGGTGACCATAGTTCAGATAATTTTGTGTAGTGTGAGAATCTGAAGATGAGGATCAGCTTTTACAGATACTCATTTGTACGTAACTCCTTGAAGCTAGATATTTCATAGAGGAACCGCATGCTCTCTCATAGGTGAGCAGTCACTTGAGATTGGTGGTGGAGTTTACCTTCAAGAATGTTTCTAAGGTTCTTGAAAATATCCCAAATAATAATTTTTTTTTGGGGGGGGTTTGAAAATTGAACTAGGTTCAGTTTGAAAAACTTTAGCTAGGTTGAAGAATAATTGGCAGGAATGTTTTTAAAGGAAAGACAAAATATTTAAGGAGTTAGTATTTCAGTGCTGGGAACTGACTCAAGGACATTATGCTTGCGAGGAACCCATCTCCCACTGAGCTATACCTCCCAGCCAATGTAAATTTGATGTACATTTACTCACTGAATTCAGGCATGGGTGGGAGGAAAGCAAACAATCACCGTTTACACTGGCCTTTTGTGTTACTGACTTTCATAACTGCTTTGGATTTACACTCCATTTTTATTTTTTAGGGAGAAGTAATAGCATTGGACAAAATATTGAATAAAGTGAAAAAATTAAAGCAGAACGCTTCGTTATTAGGGCTTCATTCTATCCGGGCATTTTGCTTTGATGCAACAAAGGCTCTTAGGCTTGATACGACCAATGGCATAGAAGGTAATCGGAATGGTAATGTGTTTGTGTTTATGTAATGTTTAATGTAATGTCTGTTAATGGTTTAATGTGTTAATATTTTGACAGCAAGACACTCAAAATTTACTCTTGACAGCTTTGAAATGCAATATATATTATTACTAAGTGTAGAATCCCTCTGTGTGCTAGAGTTCAAACCTTGCTCTTTTAAGTAAACTTTGTAACTTTTCCATAGTATTACCCTGTTCTTTCTTGCCATTGATAATCACTGTCTCTTTCTGCTTCAATGTGTTCTACTTTTTAGCTTCCAGATATAATTGTCTATTGGGGCCTGGCTTATTTTCAGTCAACATAGTATCTTCTGGGTTCTTCCATGCTGTTGCAAGTGTCAAGATATCTTTTAAAGATTCAATAGTGTTCCATTGTGTACATGCCTTGCATCTTTTCATATCATTCCTTGTTGGTAGACACGGGAGATTCTGTAGCACCGCTGTTGTAAGCAGTGTCGAAGTGAACAGGAGAGCATAGTTATCTGTGACAACTGTTTCCATTTGTGTATGCCCACTGGCATGTATGACTGCTGCACAACACAGCACTTTTATTATTTACTGTGTGAAGAACCATGCCGTTCTCACTAGTGGTTGTCTTTATGTTCTTACACAGTACACGTGTGCTCTCTCTTCCTCCATGCTCGCACCAGAGCATCTTCTGTTCTTTTCTTTTGGTAACTGTCTCCTCACAGGGGCCAGGTGATATGTCTTGTGTTTTTCATTGCATTGTCTTGAAGGTTTGTTGTAGTGAGAATCTCTTTTGTATATTCACTAACCACATTGTCATTTGAAGAGCAGCAAATGTCCATCTAAATGCTTCACCCACGTGGTTGTGTATTAGTTTCTATGATTAAATATCTGGCAAAAGCAATCTAAGGGAAGGATCTTTTTGCCTCACAGTGTGAAGATGCACCTTGTTTTACTGACTTTCCCACCATAGGGAACTCTTTGTTACTGTCCTTCTGGTCATGGTAGGGAAGGACTTCCCTATCATGGTGTCCTCTGTGTTACTCACCTCCCCATCATACGCAGCTTGGTGTTGATTGCCTTCTGGTCATGGTGTCCTCTGTGTTAAGGACTTTCTCATCATGGTTCCTTTCTGTCACTCACCTCCCCATCATAGGGAACTTGATGTTAATGGCCTCCTGGTCATGGTGGGGAAGGTATATGTAATGTCGGGTGCTTTTCTCAAACATGAGAATCTGGTCACATTGCATCATAGGAGGCAGAGAGACAAAGGCTGACTTCAGCCTGTAGAACGAGGCTGCCAGGTTTGGCATGGGCCTCCTCCTCCAGTCCAGGCATTTCTCTCAGGAAATGCCTCCACACACACCCTCACTGACACCTCCAGAGGTGTGTTTCTTAAGTGACCTGAAATCCACTGAAGTTACAGTGGCGAGCCATTATAGCAATGACTAGCTGGGTTTGGTTGGTTGGTTTTTAGTACGTTTATGCTATCTGTTGCCAAAATATTTAATCCATTTTTTTTCCAGTAAATAACTGAGTGTTGAAGCCTTTCTTGAGTCATTTGTTCCACATTTCCTTAGCGATGTATAGATGTGTTGTCCTTCTGTGTTGTTGTCTTCTTTTGGATTAGCTATGTTTATATTGTACTGTGTTTTTCATCTTCTGTTTAGCCACTATACATTTTGGTAACCCAACTTACCAACCTAACTATCACATATATCCATCACAGGTCATTTGAAGCTGGTAGTGACTGAATTCCTCATTAAAAGCCCAAGAGGTGTTTGTTTGTTTGCTTGTTTTCCAGATAAGGTTTCTCTGTATAGCCCTAGTGCTGCCCTGGAACTCACTCTGTAGACCAGGCTGGCCTCGAACTCAGAAATCCACCTGCCTCTGCCTCCCAATCCCAGTCACTTTAATCCCAGTGCTGGGATTAAAGACGTGTGCCACCACTGCCTGGCTCGAGCTTTTGTTTTTGTTTTTGTTTTGTTTCTTAAATTCCCCATTTTATTTTGTCTTATTGCATAATTTATGTATTTCTATATTGTGTTCCCTAAACAAATTCTTGCATCTTACTGGTTTTGGTGGCATGAATGAGATGTCCCCCATAGTCTCAGGCATTCGAGCTTCCTATTTTCCTTTGTCCCCTGGGAACAGTTTTTGTTTGTTTGTTTTAATCTTTTTTAAACAGTATATCAATAGCTAACTTAGTATAACTTTAAATCAGCAAAAGGTCATTTACTATGAAAATAAATGGTAGGAAGAACAAGGCCAATAGAAACTTGCAGGCTGTAAAGCAGAGGAAGGCTCTGTGAACCTAGAACTGCCAGCTGCTGGAAGGAGCACAGCTTAGCTGTTGCAGGCAGCTCTACAGAGCAGGCTCTACACAGAGCAGGCCCTACACAGAGCAGACTCTACACAGAGCAAGCTCTACACAGAGCAGGCTCTACAGAGCAGGCTCTACACAGAGCAGGCTTTACACAGAGCAGGC